AGTCAATTACCAAAATTTGGATGATTTTGAATATTCACTTGAAAAGTTATCAAAGAAAAACATTTTTCATTTTGTAACTTCGAGGGCCCGTAACTTGGTTACGAAGACTTTTAGGAAAAAAAATTATATGAAGTACTGGTGATATTTTGACCCCATCTATACATTCCCGAGAGGAAAAGAGGAAGTCCAGGGACACCCTATATACCAGGATATCATTCATATATCTATACCAATACACGAAACTTTTTACCAGTGGGTTACTGTGTATTCTTCTCTCCAAATCGTCCATGAAAATATCTGCCAGAATAGGACTAAGTGGGTTTCCAATTATGAGACCTTTGCAGGATGAGTAAAAAGTTTCATTGAATTGGAAGTAATTCTGTGACAAACACACCGTAAGCAAGTCTGATATTTCATTTTTCATTACCGGATTGATAGACTTTTCATCCAATAGATTCTCTATAAGAGTAATCATTTCATTCGGAGAAATACTGAAAAACAGATTCTTTACATCGAATGAAATCAATTTGGCATTATCCGGGAGTGTAATATCTTGAATTTCATTGATCAAATGGTATCAATTTCTCAAACTGAATTTTGATTTGAAATTAGTGTGGTTTTGAATAAATGCAACGTGTTTCGGATATTTTAACTGAAGGAGCTGTGACGAAAGAAACTACCGGTCTATCGGGTAGTTACCTTCGTATAATTTAATCTCCTTTTTGAACTTCGTTGATACAATGAAGTTCAGTACTGAATTTTTCATGGCTGAAATTGAAATTAAAAATTGCTTTCCATAAATTCACAAATTCAACATAACTATTCATACTTCCACAAATATTAATATTATGGAAATAAATGATATTGATATGAATTTGTCACTTCCTCAATCTAGGGTTTTGATCAATATATAGATAGATAATATATTTGTCTCTTTAGGTTGTTCTTACAACATGAGATATGTAAAAAAAATGAAAAACAAACAACAAGTACAAACACATTAACAATACTCAATTTCACACAAAAGTTAAAACATATTGGATGGATAGATATTGAAAACAGTACATATAATGAATACTACATAGATGAAAATGAATCAGCCACACTTTTGAATAAAATCGTCTTAAGTATAAAATGCTCCTTGGATTAAGAACTTTTTCAGTGTATGTTTGATAGTTTTTATTTTTGTTTCCGATTTCATGCTTTCAGGCAATAAGTTGAATAAATATGCCCCTGCATACAGAGGTGATTTTTTGTGATGTGATCTGAGTATGGGATGTAAGTGAAAGTCATTTTTTTTTCTCGTATCGTATCTGTGGTACTCACTGTTTTTGTTTACTTTTCCTTTATTTAAAAAGGTATACGTCAGTAATTCTTACAAATAAATAGATGTGAATGTTGAAATATTGTTATTTGTGAAGGTGTTCCTACACGATTCTCTGTAGTCTAATTCATATATCATTCTGATGAACCTTTTTTGTATTCCAAAGACTCTGGATGTTTCTGTAGACCTTCCCCATACTATGATGTTGCAGCTGATAGTACTATATACCAGTGCATAATATAAATTAATCAAGTAAGGTCTATGAAAATTTGATTTGAGTGTATAGAAAGCATAATATAGTTTATTTAGTTTTATGCAAATAGAATCTATTTGGTTGTTGAATGAGAACTTGTAGTCTAGTTCCATACCTAAGTATCGTGCTGACTCTGATGTGTTTATTTCAATATCGTCAATATTCATTGTAAGATTGTGTGTTCGCCTGAGGGAACGTGTAAACTCTGTGAATACCATTTTTATCTATATTGTTAATTAGATGATTCACCTCACACCAGTGCGCAAATTCCTCTGTAACCAATTTAATTTTCTTTTGGAATTCAGTAGCGGTGTCAGCCACAACAATAACTGTGGTATCATCCGCATAGATGGAGGTTTGTCCATGCTTGAAGTGAGTGGGTAAATCATTCACATAAAGCAAGAATAGCAAGGGGCCTAAGACACCTCCTTGGGGAGTGCCAATTTCAATGTCAAAGTTATCAGAGAACTCGTCCTCAATCTGTACCTTAAGCGTCCTCCCAGATATATATGATAGGATCCACTGCTGAACTGGGCCTCCTATACCTATTGCCTCTAATTTGGTTGGAAAATACTCGTGCTTTATGGTGTCGAATGCACGCGACAGGTCAAAGAAAAGTCCTCCTACAACTTGTTTTCGTTGATATTATCATATATATTGTCAGATGCTGTCTCCACTGGGTGGTTGGGTCGAAATCCATGCTGAGTTGAAGTAATAATATATTTATTTAAATAGTTGATTATTTGGTTGTACACAGCTGTTTCCATTATCTTGGAAAAACAGCTGAGGAGGCAAATCATCCTATAATTTTCAACACCCTGTGTATCCCCTTTTTTGAATATAGAAATCGACTTTGTGATTTTTAGTGCATTTGGAAATGTTCCACTCATTACAGAGTTGTTTACTATTAACGTTAAAGTGCTAGATATGATATCAACTGATTCTTTTAGAATTGTGGCAGGAATTTCATCGATGCCAGCAGAACATTTTTACTTCAAGTTAAGAATTATGTGCTTGATGTCATGTTCAGTAACGGGAGCGAAGAACATGGAGTTTGGACTGATCGCTTCAACTTTGGTACACATATCGCAAGGGACGTCAAGGGAATTTATTTTCTCTTTAACAGAGTTAGCAAAGTGAACTCCAAATACATTTGCTATATCTTCATTTTCAATTACGATTTTGTGATTGTAATTTAAGGTGATTTTCTGTGTTTGTTTTACCCTGTTGGTTTTGTTGTTCACCAAGTTCCATAGTGTTTTCACTTTATTGTTGGAATTTTGAATAATATGTGTATGATAATCCCTTTTTGCAATGGAGATCTCTCTATCAATTTCCTTTTTGTTTTTTTTATAGTATTCATGTATTACAGGATCATTGGTATTTTTCCGCAACCAATTCATTTGTTTTAGATCATCCAGCTTTGCATAGAGTTCATTTGAAAATGGAATTTTTCCTGAACTCGATTTTTTTGATGGTTTCATTTTTTGCTTGGGTATTGCAACATCGAAGCACCATTGGAAATGTGAAAAGAAGTTATTGAACATGACATCAACATTCTCATTTTGTTCATATGACAAGTCGTCCGCGATTAACAGTGATTTAAATTCTGATAGTGAAACGTCATTTATTTTCCGAGTGACAATGTATTTTGTATTTTTGATTTCATTCATTATATTACATGTCAGCCTTTGGGCAAAGTGATCTGATACCCCCATATCATAGACCTCACAGGAGACGTACGCTATGTTGGTAACTATATAATCCAGTCCACTAGAAGTTATCTTTTTCCCATATTTTGCCGTACGCGTTGGTTCAGCATACGGCAAAATAAGATGAAACATTTCAAGTAAGTCAAATAGTTGTTTTTTAGGGCGGCTTTCCCCTGTGAAGTCTATGTTGAAATCTCCGCATATTATTATTTCTGTATATTTACTTGTACTTGTACTACGATATAAAGTGACTATACAAAGTTTTTTATTTACCTCTATGGCAGAACACTCCAAGTGCAATTCAAGTGAGTTGTCAGACAAATATGGGATGGGTTTGCATTTATTTGCATTATAAAATTCTGATTTAACAAAAACAGCAGTACCACCATGTTCACTTGAATTGAAGAGTTTATCCTTACACATCCAATGTTCAGATACACAGACAAATGTTGGGGTATGAGTTTCACAGTACATTTCAATTACATTTATTTTATTCAGTAGACTTTGAATATTCTCATGAATCAACTAAAGACTGGATTCCGTTGAACTGTTCAAACTGTTCTTACAGTTTAGGGCGAAGCTGGTTTATGAAAATTTTCAACTTGTCTGCGGTTATCCAGGAAACGTTGACCCTTCTTGAAATTAAAGCGGCTAAAGCAAATATTTTTTGGCCCGAAATTCGGGTCATAGACTTGATCATGTAGCTTTGGGTTAAGTCCAACCATGAAGACTTGATTATCAGTTCTGGGATTTTCAATGTTGAGCTTTTTTACATACACATTAGTGGTGTGGGCATGTCGTTCGATGTATTTTCTCATATCGTCTGCTTTTATTTTATCTGGAATTTTAGAAATAAATAACCAAATTTTTCTGACACCTTCTATTCCTTGTAGGTTTTCGTCTCCTTGACCACTACCCACTTTGTGGGCTTGTCTTTTTTTACGCTTAGATACTAAAGTATAACTCTTTTCCAAGTCCTCATTTCCATTGTTTTTCGAGGAAGAGGCCTCATCATGGTATTTTTTCATCATTCTTCGTCAGGTTTATCACTTCATCAAGGTTCTATTTTGTCTGTACTCTCAAAATTCCGGTAGAAACTTGATTTACTGATGATCATGAATCACCCTGTATGTTAAAGTTTTGATTAGTAAGGCCTGTTGCCTCTGCTAAGGAGCGAGTTGGTTTTTCAGAAGGTTTGATGTTTTTCTGCTGTGCACTTTCTATTTCAGTACCAGATCGTGTACCTTTTTTTGATTCTGTATTGATGACAGGAATTACTTTTGTTTGTTTTGTTTCTAAAATTGCAATTTTCTCATGCATCAACTGTATTAATTTTTCTTTGTCAGTAATTATTACATTTTTATCTCCAAGCATTGTTCTGAGAAGCCGATTTTCTTCTTCTAGGTAGGTTTTTTTCAAGGTTTGTGAGTCACTTGTATTCGGAATTGTTTCATGTTTGCATTCTGGACTTCTCAATTCCCTGGATTGTCTAAGACAAGCGGGATGGAAAAATTCGGAACATTTGATGCACTGCACTTCAGTCACAACTTCTTTAGAACAATGTTTACAGGATATTTTTTCACTTTCGTTCAGAGTAGGTGAAAGCGAACGTCCACCCACCGCCATATTGTGTATTTTTATAATAATAATAACAATTCAAACACTTATTGAAAAAAACAACTATAACATAACTAAATACAAACAGAGCACAAAAAATTGAATGTGGATATAATTACCACAATTATTAAAATGAAAATACTCCGCACATGGCTAGCTGCAGAAACGTCGATAAATTCATAACCATAACCACTTCTCTCATATTCGGTATAATTCGAAGGTTCATATCACATCCACATTTCTTCCTTTTTTCAGACATCTTTCACCTCACTGTTGAATACTTTATAACTAATATATATTTGATCGAAAACGTCTACATCAGAATGATTCTTTTATAATCAACTGTCTGAGGGTGTAAATGAGTGGTTTCAATTAATTCGCCCCATTTAATTTTCCTTGATGGCTTCAATATCATTAATATTTTCTCTGCGACTTTGCAATTTTCTGATTTCTGTCAACACTGAAGAGTACCAAGTTTTTTTTGTTTCAGAAAAGCGAATTACCACCTGCCATAATCGCTAACAATGAAACGTTGAAGAAAGCAAAGAATGTTATCGAAAAAATCAGAAGTTGGGGTGCTACCAACATTATAGGTGGACTGGAAACTGGGCTCCATCTGGTTAAAGTTAATACGAAATATGAATCCACGAAAGAGAAAAAACATCAACCAATGATTGTTTTTCTGACAGACGGTCAGCCAAATGTTGGTGAATGGTCAACTGACAAAATTACAGAAATTGTAAGTGTTTATATTACATATTTCTTGAGTACTTCGTTTGTGAATGGCAAAACACGGTTTCTTCAATATTTAACTCCGAGTGTAGTCAAAAGGCATATTATTTACGGATGAAACACTGCTAATATTATTATTCACAAGGCGACATACTGAGTTTCACAATGAAACATTATAATTCGAGCAAATTCAAGTATGAAAAAAAATTTTTGGACAATTATTAAATATGAAAAATCTAATTATTTTTATCAAGAAAGGGGTAGAACAGTAATCTTTTGTTGCTTGGCCTATTCTACTTCCGAGTTTATGAACGTATAACAGAGAATTAGTTTTCGATTGTTTGATCATTTCATTGACTGCTATTTTGTCATCAATGGAAACACATACATTTCTGAGTAACGAAGTTTTCTTGTTGTCATAATATTCACGACTGAAACTTTCAGAAAACTGTATGAGATATTTTCACATTACCATAGATTAACATCTGAAATGTGGCAAAAATACTGGTGGCTTTCTAGAAATTAAAAAACAGAAACGATGAGGGATGATGATTTCTGTCGGATACAGGCAAATGATGAAAAAGTTGAACAAATATTTGCACTCTCAACAAATTTCTGTAATCCGATTCCTGCAGTTTTCCCAAATAATGATTATTAGTGCCAAATGCATAATATTTCCTTATGATTTTGGTTATACAGTGTGTGAAAGCCAAATGGAATAAATTCATTATTTCGGTTACTGTACATATTCAAAGAAAATCCCGAAACACGCCAAATTCATCATTATTTGACATACTTCAAATTCGACATACTTCAACGGAAAAATGCTACTTTACCTTCAACCTCCGTCGAATGACAGGGGAAGTATAGGTTTATGATACATCGTTTGAAAGGTCTCTTTATTCTGTATTCAAAAATTTTATCGCTTTCAAGTTTATCGCAACAATTAAGATAGAATTAATTAAAATCATGTGGTTACCGAAATTCGATAAAATAACCTAAAAACTAAAATTTAATGCAAAATGTAATGAAATATAGAAACGAAGAACTATGGATGTTAACAAAGTAAAGTTGCTTACGGGATTGGAACACGTCATGAAATTCCTAACAAACCAAGACCTTCGATAATAAAATTGTCTAAACCTCACATAAAGTCTTAAATTTTCAAACATGGCGAAACATTTAGAGGTAGAAACATATTTTTCAAAGAAGATTCAACGAAATGCAGAAGACTGTTGTTGTCAATATTCCTATACCCAGTCACAAGAAACGAGTTGATCGATATCATTTTCAGATTAGAAAATGAAACTTCCCGTGGTCCCGATAAGATATCTGTGTTTCTTATCAAAAAGTTCCACAAGTACTTTTCAGAACCCATGTGTCACATTTTGAATTTAATATTTACTGTAGGAAAAATTCCTAAATTTTCAAACACTCAATCACAATACCGATTTTTAAGTCTGGTGATAAAAAATTAGTAAGAAACTTTCGACATGTAACTACGATTGATAACTTCTCTGAAATATTCGAAATAGAGCTATACTATTTTGCAATAATAACAACATTTTTTCTGAATCACAATATGGTTTTCTACAAAACAGATTTCTAGAAGACAGAAGGCATTTGATACTGTGGATCATAATATACTCCTTCAACGTTTAGCTAACATTGGTGTGAGGGGTGTTGCTTTGAAAATATTCGAAGATCATTTGACAAATAGAACAAGAATTGTCAAGGTGAACGACTCTCTCAACGACTCACTAAAAATTACCCGAGGCGTACCCCAAGGAACTGTATTAGGACCCATCTTATTTCTAATATATATGAACAACATCTTCAAAATTTCTGATTTCAATGGTGAAATAACTTCATTTGCTGACACACTTTCGTTGGACAAGCGTAGGAAGAAGTATACACTCAGTCTGAAATAGGCATCAAAACGATTTTCAACTGGTTGAGTTCTAATTTATTGAGTGGCAATGCTAAAAAAACAAATTTATTGCATTTGCTCCAACTAGAGATCAACCAGCTACAAACATCATGAAAATCCACAAAACATCTTGTGCAAACGTTCCCAATTGTAGCTGTACTTCTATATAGAAAACGGATACAATAAAATACCTTAGAAGTATTAGTGGACCAATCTCTTCGGTGAAATGCACACATTGATTATACAGTAACTAGACTACGTAAATTAATAAATAAATTTTTTCATCTCAGAAACAGGGAAATGATACTGATGGTGTATGATGCCTTGGCTAACTCAATAAATAATACGTTACTGTATAATGATATGGGGTGGTACCTTCAAGACATCGCTAATTAACTTCAAAGTGATTCAAAATTCATTGATAAGAATCATGATGAAAAAAGATCGGAGTTATTGTACCCAGTCGTTGTATGATGAAACTGGGATATTGTAAGAAAAACTATTTCTCTGAAAAATATTTTTCAGAGTTTATTATGGACTGCTAATTCTTCAATCAAGGTTGTACAGCATACTTTCAATACTCGTAACAGTTCAGTTAAGACTATGAATGTTCCACGATGCAGACTCACGCATAATCAAAAATTTATAACCTATCTGGGACCCAAACTTTACAACACTCTACCTGTATCATTGAAAGGCATGAGAAAGATATTTGAATTCAAAATAGAATTCAAAACTTGGTTGACAATAATAATGATATGCTTCTTCTGATACTTAAATAAGAAATATCTATTATTAGGGGTGCCTTTAAGAGCGCATCACATACATATCTCTCTCTTTCTCCCTTTCTCTCTTTTTCGTCCTGTATCTTCTTTTTACTATATCTTGCTTTCTACACTCTGTTCACTATGTTTGGTTATACAGGAAAAGATATACTATTCAGTTTGCTGGCTACAACACAAGCTTGCTTAGGTAGCCGTGACTTTTAATAAAATTGTATAATATCTACATTTCCTAAATCTTCATTCTTTTATTTTATTTTATTTTTTTAATTTCATTTCATTTCATTTCATTTTTTTTTCATTTTAATTTATTTTATTTCATTTTATTTTATTTTATTTTATTTTGTTTCATTTTATTTTATTTTATTTTATTTTATTTTATTTTATTTTATTTTATTCATTTCATTTCATTTTATTTATTTATTTATTTTTATTTCATTTCATTTTTTATCATTTCGTCATAGACGACTAGGTATTTTGTCTCATTACTGAATTGAATAGATTCACTTACTTACTCACTTACTTACTTACTAAATGGTAAAAATTTTCACCGCGAGCGTCTTGACAACATCCTATCCATGTGGACTTTTGTAACATTTGTAGACACGTGGGGTGTGTGAGAACCCAATATGATTTTTCTGTTGAAATTAACATTTTTTTGAATTGCAACATAGTTGTTATGATAATTCTATACTGTAATATACCTTTTTGCAATAAAATAATTTCCGATTCACCAAAACAAGCAATAAATCGTTATATTCCGTCTTTACCAAAACAATGGGTTCTTTTAATGGAAAAAAATATAGATTCACTCGAGGAAGTCTTTTGCACATAAAACGACTGAATACATATAAATTGCTGGTTCGAACAGATGATAAAACATCATAAAGTGAAAATAAAAAAAATTATTGAAAATCATAAAAAGTTACAGTTCATCGTTTGCCATTTCTACGCAAGATTTGCAGTACATTTCTGCATGGTACAGACATATGAATTTATTGCATTTGTTAAAAATGTATTTTGTATTTCAAACACGGGCACGATGGCAATTTTGAGACCTTCCTTGACCATTTTGTTTAAGTCTTTTGGATGGAGGTAATACAGTTTCGCCCTTGATCTTCGAAATCTGGATAGTTACTAACGATGCTAATATTATCGTTCGTTTCATCACCATCAGATTCGTCAATTTCATCATCACTTCCTATTTCATCCCATAAGGACTGAAGACGGGCCATTTCTCGCTCATAATCACCAATTTTTATCGAATAATTTGAAAAACTACTCGATTTGGTTTTCTTTGAATGCACACAATTTTGGAACGTATAGAGACATGTGGGGTTTAGAGCACCCCAGTCGCTTTATAACAGGTCTGATTCAAACATACGTCAAACGACAACTGATTAGAGATGTGAATATGAGAGTGGAGACTACATGCGGAAGCTACTTAATATATCCGACGCTGGGGCGCCAATTTCGAAAAGTTATATGGAATTTTCTACGGCTGGGGTATGTCACACCCCACGTGTCGGACGCAGGGTTGAGAAATTACTCATGAAATAGCCGAGCTACTTCCTTTTGCAAAAACTGTTATTTTATGCATTTCCGTTAACCTAATCATTTGTCAGATTTAAAGTTACCGAACTTTGAACTTAAATTAAATTAAAATACCGACAACTAATGTTGTAACATACAAAACATGTTGACAAGGCGTTCTAAAGTAACGTTGCGACGGAAATTATTTAGAGTTTTTGAAAGGATACCATCTAAAAAGAACATTGATATGATTTTTGCTTAATTTCTTCTCATCAATACCTCAACATGAAATAAGTTTTGAGTATACTGCAATAAGTTTTGAGTGTATTTTATCGAATTTCGGTAACCACATTATTTCAATTTATTTTATCTCAATTGTTGCAATAAACTTGAAAGCGATAACATTTTTGAATAGAGAATGAAAATACTTTTCAAGCGATATATCACAAGCCTATACTTCCCATTCAAAAAATTGGGTGTTGTACCTGTCATTCGACGGGGATTGAAGGTGAGAGTAGCATTTTTCCATTGAAGTATGTCAAATTATAATTTAAATTTGACGTGTTTCCGGATTTTGTTAAAAATGTACCGTTACCGAATTAATGAATTTATTCCATTTGACTTTTACACGCTGTATGTAAGAAACATAAACAGTTTGTTCGCACCTATTTTAGTGATACCAAGGTGTCAGAAGGTAATGGCAGAGAAATACCTTAACCGGGACTTAAACGTACTATAATTTTCTTTGATACATGTTTGTCTCCCTAGAATATGTAGACTAACAGACGAATGCAATCAGTTTATTGAATGAACTTTGTCAGAGCAATCTTATAAATAGGATCGTTGAGCAGATTTGCTGACTATTTCATTTTCACAATCGTAATTTTCTCTATTGAGCTTTTTGTTATCCAAATACGGCGACAGCTCCCTGTTTTTTTTTCTTATATTCGACTTCCATATTATTTTGAATTCATCGAAAATATAAGCTCGAATATAAGTTTGTTGCTGCCTATTCATATGCATTCAGGGTGTAACTGAATAAGTGTAAAACATTCAACGAGGTGATTTCTCAGCGGAAAAAAGATAGGATCTTTCATATAAAGAAACTTCATTGGAGCATCCCTTGTTAAGATACAGCCCCTTAAATGGGTACATAAAATTTGTATAACAATTTTTTCACAAGCACTTTAAAAGTTACAACATCGAAATTAACCTGACGTTTTGTACTATAGCGATAGCCTGATTCATTCTAAATAAAAAATGTCTCTTGGGTTTTTTGCCCAAAATAAACCAGTTCGCAGCAAAAAATTATTTTACGAACGACTACAGAGATACATCGTCATAAATGCGAACTGGATTTATTGTTATTTTGTAGTTAGTAACTGCATTAAACAATTGAAGGGTTATAAACAAAACTAATTTATTAATAACAAAACACACAACATGTAGAAATCATAAACGCATGCGTCTAGACGTCGGCGCATTGAGCCACGTATTCGCTCAAATATTCCTGGAGTCCCTCTGATCACCCAGCACGCATCGATGATGCGGTTTCTCGAGTCCTACACATCGCGAACAGGATTACGATACACCAAATGCTGTGAATGGCCCCAAATAGAGAAATCGAGAGGATTAAGATCCGGGGATCGAGCGGGCCAGTTCTGTGGTCCTCCTCGACCTATCCACTGATTTGCATATGTTAAATGCTGACATGCTACTTATCTAAAATGGGCGGGAGCCCCATCAGGCATAAAAACCATATCCCTTCTGACGCCCAAAGGAACTTCCTCCAGCAGTACTGGATGCACCTCTCTTAAAAATTGAACGTATGCCTCACCATTTAATCCAGGATGTAGGAGGCCCAAATCATCCCCATATGTGGTAATTATGAAAATTAATAATCTTTTCCCGAGAAAAACTACATTCGTCTGTGAATTCTATCGTCTTCAGAAAGTCACAATTTCTTATTAATTGTCACTATCGCTAATAGCGACCTACTAGATAGATTAGTTTCGAATTTTCGCGTTTATGACGATGTATCTCTGTAGTTGTTCGTAAAATAATTTTTTGCGGCAAAAAACCCAAGAAACATTTTTTGTTCAGAATGAAACAGGCTATCGAAAATAAATTTTTAAATGTTAAACAAATTATAAGAGAAAATGTTACATTGGAAATGAATTTTAGGGGTTGCGTTTTCCACCCCTCACAACCATGGTGTGAACCAAATGAATTTCTGGCAAAGTGTCTTTTTGGTTGTACAAACCGTCAGGTTAATTCCAATATCGTAACTTTTTTAGTGCTTGTGAAAAAAATTGTTATACAAATTTTATTTACCCCCTTCAAGGGGCTGTATCTCAACAAGGGATGCTCCAATGAAATTTTTTATATGGAAGATCCAATCTTTTTTTTGATGAGGAATCACCTCCTCAAATGTTTTACACTTATTTAGTTATATCCTGTATTTTTGATAAATACTTTAAATATGATCTCAAGATTGACTTTAATCAATTTGACAGGTAACAAGACTGAATGAAGAAGTTCCCATATTCTCCTTATCTTTCGGAGAAGGTGCTGACAAGAGCTTTTTGAGGAAGTTATCTCAAAAAAACTTCGGCTTCTCAAGACATATTTATGAAGGATCGGATGCTTCTCTTCAGCTACAAGAGTTCTACAAGCTTATATCTTCTCCTCTATTATCGAAAGTGAATTTCAAATATAATGATAATGTCACAGAAGTAACCCAGAGCCATTTTCCAATATTTTTCAGAGGAACTGAGTGTGTGGTATCTGGACGAATCAGAGGTATGTAGATAGAATGATTATTATATTTTTATATATTATATATTATATTTTTTAATATTGATATGCTATCAACCAACAATCCATCCTCAAAAAAACTCAATTGTATGCTTGAAGCCTACGGACTTTCACAAATTATTGAGTCACCTACCCGTACTACACTCTCCACTTCGACTCTTATCGATTTAATTATCACAAGCAACGTTGAAAACTTCGTGAAATGCGCTGCTGT